TAAATATAATAATTCATTCGAAATATATTTATTAATTAATCATTAATTAAAATGAAAAAGAAATCCACCCATCTTAGTTTAACATAATAAACTATCTAATAAAATTGATATTTTGAGTCATCAACATAATTTGTATAAATTCATTAATTTAGATTTTATATCCCTAATTATATATCTTATAATCAATATATATATATAGAATTTTATACTCTTTTAAAAGGAAAATATTCAAAAATCTAATCAACAATAATACTGCATATTTAATGAATTTTCAATTATTAGAGGATATGGATTACCGTAAATTTTCAGTTTTAAATTAAAAAATTTTGTAAATTCATACTTTGCATTTAATTTAAATGGATGAGTATATTTTAAGACTTTACATTCTTAATTAAATTGTGTGAATACCCATGCTTAATGTTTAATCTCTTATTACTCCTATTTTGGTCTTTTTGAAAACATAACAATAAGAAATTTACACTTAAATACAAGCATAACTTATGATTATCCTTTTATTATTTTTAGAGGATTTGATTTTATGGATAAAACATAAAATTTAAATATAATTTTTAAGGATTCTATATTTGATTCCAATATGTTGATAATCACAAGACTAAGTACTTTACTATTTAAAAATTTTTCCTTTTAAAAAGATAAAATTAAAGATTCAGCATCCACTATAGTTGTTTCATTGTAATAAGGAGATTTAAAAATAGTGAATTCAATTTTTATATAAAATATTGTTACTAATTCTACTGATTCTATTTTACGCATTAAAGCAGCTTCAATAGATTACAAACACATCTTGTTATAATAATAATATCATTTCTTATAATAACATGAGTAAAAATCTGCTAATTTTCAATTAAGTAATGAATAAGATTTAACAATTACATTTCCTATTAATTCAAAAAAGTAGAAATGGAATCTTGGTTGCTTCCAAGATTATTTTGAATAAAGTAATGATTTTCAAGTCTTATGCTAATTAAGGTGGAGGATTTACTTTAATTATCTAGGGTACTATAAAATCAATAATATAAAAAGTTAATAGAAAATTAGAAATAAAAGCCTCAGATAAAAGCATTATAAATATAGAAGATTCATAATTTTACAATTCTTAAACTTCCCTATGATGTTCTTCATATTCTGTAGGCGGTTGCATTTATATTGATGCATAATTAGCAACATTAAAATTAATAAATATTTGTTAAATTTTTCAGTAGAAGAGAAGGAGGAGGGCTTTATATAATTCCATCATCTTAGAATAATGAAATTTCAATGAAGTAGTTAAAGATTTCCAATTGTTTTTCTATATAAAATACATTTTTTTCTTTTTAATATTTAAATTTGGAGCAAGTTAAATTTAATATAAATTTAAATCAAATAGACTTTACTTAAACGGAAAAAGTTTTTTTCACTCTATTAGAATTACCAATAATATTAGAGTTTGATACAATTCGAAGTAATAATCCAATTATTATGGTAAAATATGAACATTAAGATTGTGAATTGCAACTTCTATCCAATTCACATATAGAGTCTAATTAAAATAGAGTAAGCCAATAATGTTATTTTAGAGAATATTGGCATAATAAATTCTTCCTTTTAAGATGCATCTTTGATAAAAATAACACTTATAAATTGTTATTTTATATTCATAATATCTGGCTCTAAGTGGAGAAATCTAGTTTCTGAATTTATCCTTATTAAATATACCAGAAATCTAGAACCATCAAAAAAATCTTGCTTTTTAAAAGATTAGGAATTTCATTAGCAATCATACTAAATAATATAATCTCATTAGTATTAATCTAATTTGTCTATACAATGCAAGGTTAATGCAACTCCAACTGTTGAATTAAATTTAATTGAATTAGATACTTCTTGGTAACATTTATAAATTAAATGTAATTTGAAGAAAATTTATGAAAAAAGAATTATAATTTTATCATTATTGAAATTTAAAAAATAAATGAAAATCATAAAATAATATGTTAATCTTTAATTTAAAGTCTACCAATTGTACTAAATGTTTGGATGGACTGATTAGTAATCTAAATATTAATTAGATTTAATATGAAAATATTCTTTTTTTAAGTATAAATAATAGTGTTTTTGGATACACAGGCTTTTTTTCAATAATAAGTTAGTGGAATGAAAATGCTTTGAACACTGAAATGATTTTTACTAATCCAAATGAAAGATAATTATAATAGCATGATTATACCAAATTAACATTATCATTAAATCATCAAGTTAAGATAATTGATAGTTTATTTTTCAACAATAGTGCAATCTTTGGTGGATCATTGTTCATAGTTGAAGCATAGGTTGTGATTTAAAATTCTAGATTTTAACATAATTCTTCTATTGTTGGAGGTGCTGTTTACGATTATTCTAATAGTGCAAATTTATTTATATTTGTTAGTTTTTATATCGAAAATATTGTTTAAATGGCTGGAGGAATATTTGTTCATTAATAATCAATTCAATAAACAATTTAATTGGATTTAATTATCTTAAATAATACATCATCAACATTTTCTTAAGATATTTTTGAAAGTCCCCGTTCTTTAACTCTTTCGATTGATACTGGAAAGACTTTCTTAAAAAAGAAAGTAATATAAAAAACTACAACAAAAGTTATAGAATAAATTGAAATAAATCCATATAATATATTAGGATATTCTCAAAAAGAAAATGTTCTCACTTTAGAAAATTCAAAATTGATTCCTTATAATTTGACATTTCGGATTATTCCTTTGAATAAATTTAATCAACAATTGAAGAAATTACCAGATTCCTTTTGTATAATTTCTCATTATGTTCTAAATTTGTCTAATAATACTATTTTAACATAATTTAAGGTACATTATCAAAAACTAGAGTACAATTTAATTAAGATACCGAAGATTTTAGCATAGATAATTTAACTATCAATTTTCATCCTTTTATAGATTAAGATATTGTTTTAATTTTAATAATAAATTGAAATATTATTAAAATTCCCTAATTTGATACCTAACCACTAGACTAAATTACCAATTGCATTACTAATTACGACTTAATTGTTGAAATTAAAACATTCAAATGCTAAATAGGAGAATATTTGAATTCAACTTCTGGTAGTTGTACATATTGTGATCCATAACTTGAATAATATTCTGTATAAATTAATCCTCAAAATAGCAATTATAAAGATGATTTAAAGGTAATATCTAGTAAAAGCTCTATAATTGAACTAAAATAAGAATATTGGAGAGCATATTATTATAGTGATAAAATTGAACATTGCTATCATGATGTAAGTAATTGTAAGGTAGCCCGGAGATTAATCTTGCTCTGAAGGTCACGTTTGTGCCTTATGCGAATAATGTGATTTATATAACATAAGAGGTGAAGGACCTTATTCAGTTAGCTCTCCTTAAAATTGCGGAAATAGTGATTTAATAGTTGATTATGCAATAACAATTACTTTAATTAGTATCTGGACTCTTATTTCTACTTTAATGTCTGTATTTGGTAATATAAGAAGAATTGAAGAAGTTATTTTAGGGATTCGACTCAAAGCAAAAGTTTTACCAGCAATCTTAATTAAACTCTTTACTAAAAATTTTTAAATAATATCTACTATTACAACATTTTAACTTTAAATTTCTAATGGATTGAAATTAGTAATTAATAGCATTGAAAATCCAGTTGATTCTATGGCTTATTCATTTGATTGTTTTTTGAATAATTTATCAGATATTTTAATAATATATTTCAGAATTATTTGGAGTTTAGTTAATGCTGCCTCAATTTTAACTAGTTTTTTTATTATTGAAAGTTTAGCTATATTGACAAAACTTGTAAATATAGATCTTCATTTATTCTAACAGCTCTATTATACTTTTTCTTATACATACAGCCAAACTTGGTTGGGGGTTGATTTCTTTACTCTCATATAGAATAATTTCTAATTAATTTTGGAAATAAGGAAATGTTGCTTATAGATATGATACAATAAACCATCTTATATGAATTCTTTCATTTTGTTTGCCTTTGATACTTCTCTTTGATATACTTTTACCAGCTTATTTTTATTAAAAACTTAAATTTAATAAAGATTGTTAGACAAACCATCAGTTAGATCAATTTTGGGTTATCTTTATAATGATTACAAATAAAGAGCCTACTTTTGGGAGATTGTTAAGATTTTTTTAAAAGAATTAATTATTGTGGTATTAGCATATTATGAGGATCATATCCTTATTAAAGCATAGTTTGTATTCTTTAATTAATTCACATGCATCTTGTCTACGAACTCGCTTTAACCCTATTACACAAAAAATTGAATTAATTGGATAAGCAATCATTTATTATATGTGCTGTCTCTATTATTTTAGCGAGCTAAATACTTGTAGCTTAATAATCAAATTTATTTGAAGTAATTTGGCCCTGTTATTTCATTGTCGGGATTATCAATGCATTGTTTATCATTAAAGTTATCTGATTATTTAATAAATTTAATGATTAAATTGAAAAATTTAGAGAACTTATATAAAAACACTTTCCAAATTAAAAAAAAGTAAAAATTTAAATTATAAGTTGTTTAAACATAAAACATAATAAAGAGCCAGAATCAAAGAAAGATTTGCAAAAATTAAAAATTATTTAATTCCAGAGGCTCGACTTATTATTCAATGTAGAAGGTATTTTGTATTGAACCAATTTATTTGATTCTCCAATTCGAATCTACTTCACTCTTCCCATATCTAAAATCATTTTTCAAGAATAAGACCAGTGAAAATTACTCTAAATTAATAATCTGATTTACTAGACTAATTAGATGATTAAAAACACTCCTTGTTTCATATAAGGTCATAAATGCAAAGTCATTAGATATTTTGAGATTAACTTCAAAAGAAAGTAGCAAGAAAATCAACTTATGAAAACTTTGAGCATTTATTTTTATATCATATATTGAACTAAAATAAATGTAATTAAAAATAATCTCAAATAATAAAAATGATGAATTTTTAATATCATCCACAATATATATGAATTGGAAACCCATTTTTTTACAATAATTATTATCATACTTTTTCTTTCATATTTTGTTTAAAAAATTACAATATATTTATTAAATCAGCGTCATTTTAAGTGTATAAAGTGTGAAAATATAAAAAAAAATTATTATTTCTAAATACAATTTAATCTTAAAGAATACAGAAGAATAAGTATTCTTTGAAATTGATTTTCTAATAGCACTAATAATTTATTTGATATCAATTTTTAGAAGATTGAGAATGAATTCAATAATGTTAAATTATGAAATATAAGAACAAATAATTTTTTTTTATATTACGCAATATTAATATTATTCTACATTGGTATCATAAGCTTCTTTTTATAAAATAGCAAAATCAAGAAAGGTCTGCAAAGATAAACTATTAACATCCTGCAGGTCTCATACTTTATAACAATTTAGCTGCATTTGTTAAATATATTCTTTATCTAAATAGTTATTAAGAAAATAATAATTGATAACACTAATTCAATTATTTTGATAAATTTTAGGGATATAAAATATTAGGGCATTGTATATTTGATCCAATAGCTCTTTAGTTGTGTTTCATATAAAGGAAAAAAGAGTTTAAATAATTTGTTATTTGTTATTATTAAAATATATTTATTACTAATAATTCAATTCAATACCATTTGTTGAAATTCAAAAAGAATTGTGTATAGATTGTTTAAACTAACAACAATTGCTTTTTATCTATTATGATAAATTGTACTTTTATCTTAATTCTTATGCAAAACCTGATTAATCACAAAGGTTTTTAAATATTCTACATATGTTAAAACATCAATTTTAATTAATTTTTGATTCAAAAGTTACCGTCTTCCTTATAATAAAATGATAAAATGAATTAACCTATTTAAATTTCAAATTTCATTTATAAAATTTCAAATAATTAATGATATAATAATTGCAGTGTGCTTTTCAGTATAATCAGCCTTAGTGTAGTTTTAGATTAGACTCTCAGGGAAAATGAAAACTCTTGTGTGCTAAATGAGTTGAATCCTACTCTTTAGAAGCTAGGACTATGGGATTTAAAGCAGCAATGCAGTTGGTTGAAGAAACTTAAAAGCAAAAAAGAGAATAAAGGGAAGTTTTCATCATTAAGAACTGTAATCTCTTAAATTCTTTCTAACTAAATTTAAGAGAATTGCAAACATCTATTAATAAAGAATTAGACTCATTTATAAACATATCGAAATTTTGGATGGAAGATTTGAATAAAGTAAAGTCCGATTAAGCTCCATTAAACTTTCTGGAGGAATTAGATACAATAATGAAATAGGGAAAAGATAGCCTTTTAAATAAGGAACTGGTAGTAGAAAAAATTAATGAAATCAATAATTTATGGAGTGCAAAAATTAATAGATAATTAGAAAAATATTGTCAATTTGAAGAAGATATGTTAAGCAATTTTAAATGATCTTATTAGGAAAAAGGTTATTTCCAAAGATTTGAGAAGTAGTAAGAGATGTAAAGTATTTAAAACTTAGATAAATAACTAAAATTTTAGTTGATAGATTAAAAAGGTATAGTCTGATACATGTTATGCTATAGCTTTTGATATAAAAAGTTAAATTATGGTTTCCAGTTGTTTGTAATCTAATAAAGTATGGAATTAAAAAAATGGAATTTTAACATTAGAATAAAATTTGAAAGGTCATAATGATATTGTAAATTACCATTTATTCAGTAAAAAGGAAAATTTTTATATTTCAGCTATTGTTATAAAACTATAAGATGTTGGAAATCTTATATAGAAAATGAATGGGAATGCTCAAGTTCTTATTATTACAAACTTCAAATGAAAAATTAATTTTAAACATCTCAAACTATGCATTTCCATTTATTATTGTTAAATATATTTGAAAACAAACTATTCAACAATTATATTTCAGAAAACTCTTATCCAAAAATGGAGTTTTAATATATTG